TTTTTTATACTTAGGAAAATTATACCTGTTTTCTTCCAGATCTCAAGCATACATAGATCATCTGGATGGATCGTACTCTCTTGCTGCATTGCCCTATAGTCAGATGTCTGAACTCCTGAACAGAGCTGAGGAGAGAGTGTTGGTCAGACCACACGAACCACCACCACCACCTCCAATGCATGGGGCAGGCGAAGGGAAACCGGTACCTCCCTGTGTTAGGTAAGAAGTGGTCCAGCCACGTGCAGATTCATTAGGAAGGGAGCTTTATTTTTCTCCAGGACCACGCAGAAGCTGGCGAAAAGCGCTGGAGTCTAATCCCTGCAGTGTGGGGACAGGCCAGGTAGGAACAGGGCAGATAACATCAAAAACACATTCTTCCAAAAGGCGCTGAGATTTTAGGATTTAGCTTTGGAGAATCTGGAATTACCACTGATTTTTGAAGTGTTTTTATATTCTGTTTCTCTGTGCTTTGCCACAACTGGAAACGTGCTGAGAGTGTTTTGTTGGAGTGAGCTTCTGGTTATCCTTCCCCTGTTGTATTACACCCCAAATCTTACTTTATGCTCAGGTGGCTACAGTTTGGAATACAAGGCAGCTAATTCAGGCATAGTTGTTAAATGCTAGTCTTTTAGAAAGAATCTCTGTTCATTGCTCAGAAGGATACATAGAAATGCTCACTTTGATTAACTTTTCCGTAACAGCTGAAAAATTCCTCTGGTGTTTTTCAAGGAAAATAATTTTACTAGTGGTTTTGTACGCTTTGATTCACACGTTCATTGCACTAAAACGAGAATTTATATTATACGTATACATCTGCAGATACAACTGATGATCTTTAATACTAGCTTCACTCATTTTGTCTTTGAACCTGAAATATGTATTTCAACTTTAGCCCCTTGCCCATACTGTTTAAAGTTTCTTAAAGAAAAAAAGTTCTGCGAATTGAACAAATTAAGCAACTGCCAGTTGCCTGACTTCAGATAAATAACCTGGATTTACCGGAGGGTGGGAAACCTCTGAAAAAGGTGCAAGTTTCTATAAAAGCACCAAAAGCCAAACACGAGCAGACTGATGTGCGGACTATACTGTGATTTAGAGTTCTCTGCACGGTACAAATACCTCAGAGTCATGGTGGAACATAATATTTTTGATGACCAAGGTTCAGCATTCTTTTAGAAGTTACCTCAGAGGGCAACCAGAGCTCAGAGGGCACTGGAACAGGCTGCCCATGGAGGTTGTGGAGTCTCCTTCTCTGGAGATCTTCCAAACCCACTTGGATGCCACCCTGTGCCACGTGCTCTAGGTGTCCTTGCTGGAGCAGGGGGCTGGACTAGATGATCTCTAGAGGTACCTTCCAAACTCAACCACTCTGTGACTTGGTGACTTCATTGCTGTTCGCTTCTCCATCCCCCTTGCCATCTCTAACGACTTTGTCCCGTTGCTGGCTCTTTCAGCTCCGCTCCAGCCTTGGTAGAGACCCGCCCGCAGTCG